ATATATACTAAATGTAATTTTGTGCATATTCATGGGTGCAAATTCATTTGCCAGTAAACTCGAATAGTACCTGGTGTCTCAAAGATACTCGCAAGAATTGACAACGGAATCTGCATAATATCTCGTTAAACAATAAAAATTATACATACATCATAGGCAGACACACCGATTGCAAACCAGATCCCATAGCGTTCTTATCAGCGTTCCAATTTCTTTTAAGCCAAATAAACTCGCTGAAGAACCAACTCCATCCCAGGACGGGAAGATACTTTGCCGACTCCTTCATCAGTGCCTTTGTGCCTCCCAACATATGAAAGCGTTCAGCAACCATCCAGCCTAGCAACCAGTCAATATCCGATGCATGATTCAAGCACACTAAAGCCTGATCTTGCCCCACTTTGTCCCATTCACCTGGTTTACTATACAGCTTCATATTAAGCCCAGCCCACCAATCGGCCAGGCATACGAATAAACTCCAGTTTAACGGCACGAGCTTCTGATTCAAGTATCTGTAGGTGCTTAAGGAGAAGGGTCGCACTGTTGAGTAGAGTGCTAGTTGGCCGATGTTCACTGCTACACCCGAGATAAGGAAGACACAGGTGATGGGTAGGGTCAACAACCCATTTTTCTTGATCACCTCCATGGGTATGGGTGCTGAGATTACACTACTTCTACCACTCAAGGTAAATACACTTATAACACAGATAGACTCTCTCTATACTTATACGGACAGACTTCACTGTTTCACCAGTGCTGACTTCCCAATAAATATTTAGCAGTGGGCTCGATTAGTAAATATTCAGTCGCCCCGCTCGGAATTTTCAGGCTGACTTTTATTTCTTTTCAAGTTTTGTTCCACAAAAAAAACCCACGCGAAAACCCATAGCCAAAGCATCATCAAACCGAAAAACAAAATCGCATGGTCCTCGGCCTCGGGCCTCTGCGGCCCTCTGGTGAGTGGATTGGTGAGTCGCAGGTGAAAAGTTGCGCTGGAGACTGTATGATTTAGAGGGCTCGAAATAGGTGCAAAGTGGAGACTCGGACAAGTCCTTTTTCTAGAGACTTTGGAGGGCCATGAAAATTGAAAATCACAAGTTGAATCTGTGACAAAAAGCAGCAAGGTTTAAAACGCCGGAGTTTGGTGTCTTGTTCATACATATTCGTTGCCGCGAGGTGATCACAACACCACGACGACGGATTCATTTTTAGCACTTAAAACTGAATTAAAATAGACACCTTTATATACATACTATATATACATATATACATACTATATATACATATATATATATACATATATATACATATATATATATATATATACATACATATATATATATATATATATATATATATATATATATAATAAACACA